ATTGAAGGCCAGGTACACTGTCCCGCCCAACGCCTAATTCAGAGGCTTGCTATTTTTCGATACATAAAAAGCTCATAATGTTCACTCACTTTGCATTGGAACTTAAGAGAGTGAATATAATCTGCAGCTCTTTTGAATTTTTCCCTGCTGTTAAGTCAGTACTCACACGATCTGGCTTACAGGGTTAATAGACCACAGTAATTCTTGTTTCCATGTCATAAGCCATCAGATAACATTTATTAATTGAAATTGGAATTTGTCAAGTTGATTCTTTAGTGTATGGAACTTTTTATGAATATACATGCAATATATAGATGAGTAATTATTACATGTTTTATCTATTTGTTTGAATAAAAAATCGATGAAGGTGAATACAAATCGTTGAAGGTCAACTGGGATAAAAGGTTGCAGCACCTATATTTGTTTTGATGAGACAAATGTTTAAACATCCATTTGGTTTTCATCATGTAAATGATGTTAAGACTTATATTATTTCATAAGAAAAAGAAGATAACATACCCTTAAATACCAGATAATCTATGTACCATTTCATCATATACCCACTTTATAATAACCCGTCCCCTGCTTCCCACCACCCCCACATTCACAGGAGCACACCTCCTTAAATAAGGTACAAAAGAGATCACATTCAATATTATCACAGTCAATTGTAGATTTAATACAATTGTTGTTGTTTTTTTTTTTAAATTATCTCTGTAATCTCTTTTTCCTCAGTCTTTAAGGTATTATTGTGGTGTTGAAATCATATGAAACATGTTGATACTAACTGTTGAAAGTTATCTCAGATGAGAAGGATAAATTACAAATTTTTTTTTTTAATTGTTGAACTTCTGTAGTTCAATGTGACATTGAAAAAAAAGAAATGATGAAATTTCAAAACTTTATCAAAGTACACAATAAACAAATAATTATTTAGAACATGCCTTGGTCTACCAGGATTTTAGGTAAGGATTTAAACCATTTGTCATTCAAGATTTGACCCTTGCATTAGTCAGTTGGTGAAATTAATTTATAATAATGGATAAGTCACAAAATATTGGTTTTATCGGTAAGACTATTTTAAGTTGTAGAATTGACCAACTTAACTTTATTGTAATATCAATTTGACCAAAAAAAAATGAAATTATGTTTGAAATTTAAAAAAATTCAATTGTTTTGACAACATTTTTTGCCAGAGAAAATTACTTCAGAACTTCTTTTTTTCTTGTGGTATATATATTTTGTGTTTATGTCTTATATTTGTGTGTATCTATTTAACTACATGTATAACAACTGCATGCCACACAACAAATTGCTAGCTGATATTTTATATATCAGAGAACTGCAAATTTCACAAATTTTGTTTAAATTTACTGTATTATTAATTTATTACACGTTGCCTAATTTTATGCCAAATTACCTGTTTTACATTATATTAAGAGTATCTTTTTACTGGCATAATTATTCAAATTTATAACAAAATAATATCTAGACCATCTGTACAAATATATGCGAGTTTTATCGTGCATGTGAAATTGTCATTTTCAAATCTCCCTTGGATATAATTATTATTACTAGTTTAATAATAATAATTCAGGTAGGCTGTACAAGAGAATTATTGTAATTTCTTTCCAGGATATGAAAATTACTTCATTTATAATGATTATTTAAAGTAAGGGTTATAATTTATAACGTATGGAATACGACAATTTATTCTTTTTTTTCCCTCTCCGCCACTGTGAGATAAACCTAAAATGCTTTAGATTAATTATAATGATCACTATTGAAAATCCAGGTTTAAAAGATTGATTTTGATTGTAGTTCAACTGTGAATAGTTTAAAGTTTACAGTCTAACATAACTGTATTTTAGATTATAATAGATCTTGGCAATTGATCAGTGCTACCGCAAAGGTTATAAAATACATGTATACATTTGTAAAGGGTTTAAGTTTGGAAACACAGTTGCTAAAGGACTTTGTTTTCTCGCGGACGTTATTGAAAACAGGAGGATTTTCTCTGGATTTTCTCCGCTTTTTTCCTCTGCTTTTAGTCACCTTAAATTCTGTACAAGATATTGATTTGAAACTATGCAACGGACTGACACGTGTGATTCCGGATTTAAAGGTTTGCGATTTGTTTCAAGAATTTTCTTTTCTGCGGTTTTTGATTTATAATGCTTGTGAATAGGATAGGATTTACATTTTTTTGTCATGGTAAAAATATAATTTGTATAAATGTGGTTGATTGAATTTTAATTTATGTAGGAAGGTTCGGCCTTTATTGACGATTGAAAATAAAATAAAAGACAGATTTTAAAAGGCTGACAAATGAATACAATTATTTAAATTGCAAAATCATCGAACTTAATTTATTATTATAGCACATACTTTTTATATAATCCAGGTTTTTATATTATAATCTTTTATAGATTAAACAATTATCATATTATAATATCAAAATGTTGAATTATTGAAATCTTTTTAGAGGATATCTTGGCATAGAAGAATAAGAATAGAAAATTTTACTTGTCATTGAATGTCATTGATTAATTGTAAAAGAATTAACTATGTTTGAAAGGTAAACTTGTACCGGCTTTTTGTATTGGCAGATTTCCCATAGTTTTTTGTTTAATGAGAAACACAATGTCAACAAATTAAAAATGAAAAAAAGGTAAAATAGTAAGCAAAAAAACATGTTTGTAACTAAGGAGTTTGTGTTGTAACTAAGGAGTTTATTAAAATCAAGAGATTTTCTGTAAAAAAGTGAAAAGAAAATGATGATGTAATCAATTGTTTATTTGTTGTTGTTGTTGTTGATCATTCAATCTGAATGATGCAATTTGTGAAATCTATACATGTTATCATTTTTTTCTTCAATTAAACTGATGCAATGCATGGCTTCTATTTTTCATTACTTCTACCAGCAGAATCTCCCTATATTGTTAACAATAACCGATTCAGATTCAAATCGAGTCATCTTGTCTAGTGAAGAGGTTTCAGCTGCTTTAAAGTTGATCTTTTTCATTTAACCTTGGGACGTGCAGGAATAAGCACATTTTCGTTTACTGAATTATTTGGTAGCTTGGAAACTTTGTTTAAGGTTTCATAGTGGGGTTTTTTCATGAAGGACAAAAAAGGACAATTTTAATGGATTTTAATTTTGACGGTATATATTCTGTTTGAAGAAGCCCTGACCTATTTTACAAAAGTGAATTTTAGTTTAATAAATTCAAAGATATTTTAGATAATTTTGTTTTTTTGCGAAGAAAAATTCTCTTTTATTGCTGAAGGTTACTGATTAATGTACATGTATATATAATAATTTTTTTTTTACATTTTTTTCCTGTTATTATTTTATATGATATAAAAAGGGGAAAAACTTGTATAATATATGTACAATTGTATATGGTATAAATTTTTTTAAAGAAAACACATTTGTGACAATTATTACTGTTTGTATATGTTTTGGTAGCTAAATGCTTTAGTTCACTTGCTACTGGGACGACAAATTAATAAATGGGCAGAAAATTTAAATGCTGTCAAAATATAGCATACAGTGAATAGCTTTAAGAAATTAAATGGAAGTGTTGTAAATGTATGTATTACTTAAACAAAAATTGATAAAAAAAAGAGTACATAATGATTGTGTTTTAATATGTTTGATTGATTTGAAAATTCAATAGAATTGTAATTGTTTGTGTGCTTAAATAGTTGATAGTTAAATCATCTTGAATTACCATTAACAGCTTTTTTAAAGGCTTACTCTTATTAGCAAAAATATACTTTTTCATTCTGGACAAAACCATTTGTCATTTTGAATTTATTAGTAACAGAAAATTTTCATTATTTATACCAGCTGAATTAACAGTGCAGACCATGATCAGAAGGCATGAATGCAACGGCGGATCTTGGTCAGCATTGGTCGCATGGGTATCATTTAATTGCTGCTAGCAGACTTAAGGCTCAAACATTATTTAGTAATGTTGTATTGACATAACAAAATAATTGAAAATTTTCAACAAAAAAAAAATTGATTTTTTTTTTTTTTTTTGTATAAACTATTTTTCCTGCAACTTTTAAATACTATTTATAGTATTTATAATAATTGCCAGTTTTAAAATATTTACATAGCTATGGTAGAAATTTGGTCATATTTACATATCTGAATAGAAAGTTGGTCACAACTCGGGTTTATATTTATCTCAATGAAAAATATTGACATTATTTAGTGAAAAAATGGAAAACAATTTAAAATATGTATAAAAATAGAAAATAATTGTATGAAAACTTTGGAACAAACAGGAAATTTAAGGTGAATGTTATTTACAAAATGATAAGAGCGTATGTATTTTATCAGTTACATGTATTTTGCATTGTGGACCGAGTTTGCATTTTGATAATGATTAGTTTAGATTTCTGTCACATGTGTGTATTACTAAAGTGATTAAATTTTTTTCATAAAAAAAAACCCAAACAAATTGATCAATATATTCTATTTATTTAGATTCAAACAAACCAAAGATACAAATTTTACTTGTCCATGTAATTTCCTGAGTAAAATCTGTGGGAGGACAAATAGAAAAAAGTAGCATGCCTTTCCTAAAAGTTAAAATAGACAAAGTAGAAGAGTGACAGAATGACAATATTTATTCTGCTGACTGTATAAACTGCTCATTGCATTCTTTGCTGTGGTGTAAAATGGCTGTTGCCTTGGTAGAGCTCAAACCTAAATCCTTCACTTGAAAAAAAAGTTGAAATGTTATGTAGGTCTCTGCTGTGACACCCTTACCATTGTGGGTTTGAGTTTGGAGGAAGCTGTCAATCTAGCTAACAAAAGGCTGGTGGTTCTACTCCTGGAAGCCACTTGTGCTTGAAACAGTGCAAGGAAGAACATCTGAAGTCTTCATCCTCTATATGACCTTAATTTATTAACCAGGCTTTGAAGAGTGTTATAGACTCACTTTAATAGTTTCAAACATGTTTTATTTGTCTATTTTCAGGTTCTGACAGTTCAAATATCAGTCATAATCAACCCTCTGTGTATCAGGACAGTGTCAATATGAAAGATCTACTTGCCCTCAAAGATAAAAGTAAATATTTAATACAGCATTTCTGTACATTTCTATTATTGATCTTGTCTTTTTACCTTTTTTTAGGTAAAACATCTTAATAGTGTTAGTTTGAAGTAATGAGCAACTTTTCTGACATTGTAATGAATGTAGATATATGATTATGAGTTACGAGGGCTATTTAGCAGCCAGCATGACTACTTTAGTTATAATTACACACCTCCTCTATTGTTTGTGACAGGTCTATATTTTTCGGATAGACCTGCTTAAACAAAAGAAAGTCCGTTATGAGGTCTATCTTTTGCACGTGCACAGGTCTGTTCTAGTCAGACAGACTCGGTCATGAAAAACACGTGAAAAATATAGACCTGCCAAAGCGAAGACAAAGAAAACATGAAATGCAATCAAAAATTAAAAATTGAAATAAAATGTAAATGATTGTCATAATGTTCCTGTCTTACAAAATCCGGATACATTTTTTAAACAAGATAATGTTTATTGAATGCATTAAGCAATTATTCCTGCATATCAAAAATAAATCATATAATTATATCAAATCTTTGAATAAAAATAATGGATATCATATCAATGTTATGACACATTTAACATTTATTTAATCGCGTCATTTTTCAAAGAAATAGTAATCTAAGTGGTTCATTTATCATTAAGTTCACAATATAACAAAATGGACGTTTCAAGTTCATATCTATGAAACTGTATAGCTGTAATTACAGCATAATTATTACGATTTTAAAATGTTAATAAAGTTATAAGTGATTTAGTATAAAGATTTATGATGAACGATCATATTTTATTCTAGAACATTCTAATCTGCTATATAAAATACAGTTTTGGTTCATGTAAATTACACTTGCCAACAATATACATATGTAAGTTTTTCGTGGTCTGTTGGGTATCTGGACATTGCCCTTCGGCCAATTGCCCACTCGGAAATTTGCCCCCTTTTTCCAGTGGCGGTTATTTGCCCCTTATATCTTTGGAAGGGACGGACATTTGCCCCACTTCCCTGTTTTAAAAATGTTAAAATATTTTATTGTTGAAATGATAGCTACCAAAATTCATTGCCTATTGTCGAAATTTCATTGTGCTTAAATACAAAAATTTCGTGCAAATTTGTGAAAGTCAAAATAGCACCCATGAATAAATGAACTATTATGTTTCCATTGACATACAAAAATCTATACACGAGATGACAAGTCACAACAGCAAAATAGAAGGCAAACGTCCGGGGGGCAACTGTCCGGGGACAAATGTCCTAGAATCTGCATTGTCTGATACGAAATTCTATCAAAATAATTATTCATACTTCAACATACTTTCGAATACAGACCTATTCACTTTATTATTGACAAATTGCACATTTAGCTTTTTTGATTATTATTATTATAGGGAAAAGCAAAGTTAAATGCAAAATATATATTGTATTTAAGCAGAACGTTGATAAAAGCTTACCTGTATATGCGTTGTGTTAAAAATAATATTTGTGCATTACATCAAATGTTCCGAATCAGCCATTGCTCAAGCCAATATAGTTTTACGGTGTGTAAGTTGGATATCGGCCTCGTACATCGATCTTTCTGTTTAGGAAAGACCTCGTACTCGGTCGATATCCTATACATAAGTCTCATTGTGTGACAGCCTTATATACATGTAGCATTATATTTATTAGGTAAGTTTGTTGGGACATGAATTGATATGACTGTTATACTTATTTATTTTTTTGCCACTTTTGAAAAAAATTAAGTTTTAAAGTTGTTACATATTCTTGAAATGTCTAATTTAACATACAATGCTGAATATAGCATGTTCAGGTTTAGACATTTTATTTAAGCTATTAAATCACTTTCGAGTCAGCTTCCTGGAACCAACCAGTACAGTGGTGTCATATGAAGAAACATGGATGTGACCCGATTAGGGCTCGAACCCATGAACCCTGGGTTGAAAGGCAGACACTTTAACCACAATGCCACTGCTCCCCTTATGTAGCCTGTTTGAAAACTTGTCAGTTTAAAGATCTTTGAATATTTGTTGGTTTGTATGGGTTTATGCATCTGTTAAAAAACAAGTTTAAAAGGTTAAGTATTTGAACAACTGTGAACATTTTGTTTTATTTTAACAATATTGTATATAATGTTGAAGTTGAATGTTTTTTGTAGCCAATTTTAAAAAAACTTCTGTTGCCTGTTTTTAAAGATCTACATGTCAGTTAATCAATTATTATATATGATTTATTAAGTCTTATATTATAATACAGTTCTATATACTTATTCAAGTTATTGTATAAGTAAACTATTAATCTATTGAAATATATACATACAGTGTAAGAAAATCAATCGTTATTGTAAAATGATAGAGTGGGGTAAAATAAATACCACAAGGTACTGATTATATACGTAAATTTTCCCGGCCCGCATGCCTTAAAAGTACATCATTATTATCCCCCATTTTAACACTTGAAAATGTAAATTACACAAGATTTGCATGTTTTATCAATCTTTTAAATGTATTTATTGTGTCTATAAAAAAAAGGGCTGGAAAATTGTTATTAATGAGCAGCTGAAAATCTGTCAGCTTATAAGTTTTTGCTGTTAATTTCTTTTATAACAGAGTGGGTTATGAATTATTTTTTTCACAGTATATTATTGATTAGATATGCACTTTATTATTTTCTAATCAGGGGAATTTCTAATGGAGTATTTAAACTGTCTGGGTCTTCAATCAGTTTTAATTGCTTTAAGGCCATTATAAAATGATCATTGGTTTGAAGATTAACTGTGTTTTTTGTTGTTGTCAAGTTTGCTTTTTAGTTCACCTGTTAATTTCTAGGATTGGCCTGTTGTCTGTCATCCCAAATTTGTGTTGTAAACATTCTATTATCAAGCTCTGTCAGAATGTTTGTTTTGGAAAGAAAATGATCCTCGGTCATCAGAAGTTTAAAACTAGGTCACCAGGTCAACAGAACATGGGCCATCAGGGGTCAAAAACTATGTCACAAGGTGAAATGAGAAGATAATTAAAAAAATTGAGAAGAGACTTGCCTATGGTGTCAGTAATGATGATATCTAGGTTATAAAAATAAAATAGGTCAATGGGGGTCAAAAACGGTCACCCATTCTTAGAAAAACTTTGTTGTATTAACTAGTGAAAAGCTGTTTCAAGTAGATCTATTGGTTAATCATTGAAACTTAAAAAGACCCTGGATTTTGATCATATTTGAGTATGGGTCAACTGGGGTAAAAAAAACTAGGTCAGTAGTGAAGATTCATGATTTTCAGTCGTAATGTTTCAGTTAATGATCCTGGTAAAGTTTTGTGTCTAAAATTTGTGTCTAAGATTGTGTAGGCTTTGATTATAGGAAACAATTGATTGGAGTTATGCTTGCACTCATGAGCTTTGATATAATGCAGACATCTCTCAGGTGAGCGATGAAAGAAGCACCAAAGCTTTCTTGTTTTAGCTTTATGTCCTGTTATCTGATATATATTTCTTTTCTTTATCCCAGCTCATTATGAATCAAGAAATGATAAAGGCTTATAAATGAAATTTTAATTACTTGACATTAGCATGATCAGAACATGACGGAATGAAACATTACTATTTCCCCGGCCTTTAAAATTCTTGTATTATCAATATTTGATAGTTGTAATGGTATAAATAGGCGGTACCATGAACAAAATATTGCATTTGTCTGGATACCACATAAAGGTAAAGTTGTAACATTATTTCTATCTGCATCCATTAGTAAAGATTATAAAATTGCTATAATCATGACCATTACAGTGTCCATTTGAAATTTTAAAAAAATGTAATAATTTAAGTCCATTAAATTACCTCGTTTTGGCAGATTTATTAGGATTTTCTGTTCATAAAGTTTCCGTTAATTTATTAAATTTTCAACAATATTAATCTCGGCTTATTATAAAACATTTATTTTTTTGGTGACATAAAATCAAAGTAATGAGGAACATACATAGAAATTGCATTTTACTTAAGATATTAATTTTAGAATTTTAAAATAAATCTAAAATGTAAATCTTTCTTGACATTTATTATCTCTTTAAACTGCCATAGATATTTGCAAATTATGCCTTTTTCCTATATTTTCTATACATTATTAGCAATCTATTACGCATTTTAAAATCAGAAAGTGAATTTGCCTGAAATATTGAATGTATTATAATATTATATCCTGCTGAGATAATACATGTATATAAATGAATTGACTGACAGTTGTACAATTTACACTTTACATCCTTGTAATGTGTACAATGATGATTTAACAAAATGATGATCTTTGCACAGTGTATGTATTGTTTCTTGTACAAAAATATAACATGAATCCTTCTGACTTATGTAATGGACTTGTCCTTCTTAGATTTTGGTATGGTTCATTCTAAGTTTAAGGGATTTCAGTATCTAAGTATCAGATATTTGTTTGCTTGTGTGTAAGGGGGTTTATTTTTTTTTATTTGGTGAGGGGGAGGGGGTTGAACTCTTTTCTTTTTAATATTTTTTATTATATACTAAATGAATTGAATTATTAAGGAAAATAATTTTAGTTAACTTGCTTACTGCATTACAGGCTTTACAGCATAGTATAAATAATTTTGTTGAAACATAAAAACATATGATAGAAAACAGGTTTGAAGTACATTTAGTTATTATTTTATAGTATTGGATTTATTATTGTATCAAACTAGCTTGGGGGTGGGGCATTTATAGAATGAAATAATATGTTTCATTTCCTCAGGTGTATGTATCATGAAAATAATGACTAAATTACTTTCAGCCATATATATATAGTGCTGTTTTAAAAATCTTTAAAAATGATGAAACAATTTCTCAAAACTGTTAAAAGTCAAAATTGGTCTCTAATATAAAATGGGATTGCGTTTGGCATATTGAATGAAAGGTTAAATAAATATTCCCCCGTCAGATACCAATGTCAACATGTCCTTATAGATTTACTCAATTTAAATGGCATTACCATACATTTGTTG